AAACAGTTATGTTATTAAACAGTTATGTTATTATTAGACAACGAAAAATTTCCAACCGTTATTGGGCACTTATTTCATTCTTACCTACAGGCGCAAAAAGAAAATTGAACCCAAATTTGAAGGCTCCAGCCACTTGATGCCACAAACCCGTCTTCCTCAGTTTTGAGTTCTTCAGTCGAAGATGAGAATTCTGCCCTTTTTGGAACTGAAACGTAGACTCTTGAGATAAAAGGTATGAAAGCAATAAAACATCGAAGGCTGAGACAGAAACTGTTTGGAAGATGTTGATATACCTCGAAAAAGACTCATTAGCTTTCTACTAAAAGGAACAGAGCTTGTTTTTCAAGAAAATATGTGTTAAACTCCTCCAGCTAACTCTTGATCCAGCGCTCTGTTCAGGGAGGTCCGAAGTAACGAATGCCCACAAATCTAACCCAGCTTTGTCCCATCACTGCAGCCGGTCAGGTGCTATCAGATTTGAGTTCATATCGGCGGGGAAAAGTAGGCGTTTCCACGCACATATGTGGTTGCGAGCACCAGCTGCGATAATGATGGCTGCGGTAATCCGGGCATAAAAGAGGCAACATTACATGTTCGCTGCGCATGTTGGGGTGCGTCAGGAGGAGAGCTTTGGCATGGTCCCAGCCCGCATCCCAACAAATGTGGTCTCTCGCCAGCTTCTGCAATAGGTGGGGGAGAGGCTAGCCCAAACCTTGCCAAACCCAGTCCCCCGACCTGCCCCAGCATCCGCAGCGAACAATACTGCAGGCATAAGTGAGAGAGTTGGTACGGGAATTTGCAGCTGTCACTAGACAGCGCACTTGGCACGCCCGTTTTTGTTCTCTGATGTGGGAACCAAATCAGCAGCCTCCTTTTTTCCTGACAGCTAGCGAGCAGGGTTACAGCATGGAGATGTCGAATGGCCGTCGTGAGTACGCACCCCCTCCTCCAAGGCGTGTTCCAACTACGACCCCCCCTCCTGCACCAAAAGGTTTCAAATCGCAGGAGCAACTTATGTCAAAGGGAGTTTCAGTTTCATTTTATATGAGTGTCTCAAAATGGCCTATTGGTTAAACTGTTCCAACTTTTAAAACTCTTTTAGTCTAAAAGACGAATTCAAACTACGAAAAAAAGAAATAGAATGAAACTCACCCAGGAATCGAAACACTAATGTTTTATGCAACATCAAGTATTAGGAAACTTCATAAATCCATATATAAGCTCGAAGAATGAAAAAAGCATCAAAAAACTTACCCTAGATGAAGCTCCCATGCTCGCCTTTCTATCCTGCATATTCAAAAAGAGAATACAAAAGAAAAGCTATCAAGTTTGGCCCACCTTTCCTTTCCTTTTACTGTATGAAACAAACTTTTATACAAGAGACAACTGCAATTGAAAAAAAATATGAAATTAAGCGCTAGCAGCACTCGGAGCGGCCCAAGTAACAGCGCCTTCTATTTCTTTTTTCCTCGTTGTTTGATTTCGACTTGTAACTATAAATGTATTGGAAGTTGGAACAGTTTGACCAATAGGAAATTTTAAGACACGCTCATGAAATGAAATGTGAAAACAAAGGAAACAGAAAACAAACAAATTTTTTGCAGTTCAGGGCACTGAACTCCCCGATGAACCCGTCCGGCCTTTTTTCCGGGTGCAGGCCTTGGTGACAGTCACAGGAAATCGTCGAACTAAGAAAATACGAAGAACAATGACATGAAATTAACAAGAAACATTAAAACAACGACGACGTGCGAATAAAGGGACTATCGGAGCAGCAGAGTTGACCGATTGCTATCCGTATTGCAACAAAACTCATTGCCCTGAGCGCGGTATTTCGACTCAATGCGTTCTGGAGTTTTTTCAGGAGGCTGTAGCTATTTTACTTGCGGAGCTTTTGGGGAATCGTCAGTAGCGTGCCACGGACATTTGACTACTGTTGCGTTGTCATGCTACCGCTCGGCATCTGAATGTTTCTCCTCGTTGGTGTAAGAATTATCTGGCTGGGGGTCTCCGTTGTGTACGCTCACGCGCAAGCGGGTTTTATGCCTTCACACAAAGATGCTTCCTTGCAGACGCAATTTCATCCACCGCCGGTAAAATCGTTATGAGTAGCCCATCTTTTCTCTTTCCAATAAGCTCTACTGTTTCCCTGAAGACCCGCTAGTTCAGGAGATATTTTTAGGTGGGCTACCTTCGCGCTACCCTTTGACCCACCCGAAAAATCGACTCCTTCCGTACCATCACGATGATACTCATTCAAGAACTCCAATATGACTTCAAAACACATATTCCCACTCAAATGAGTTAAAGAAGAGTTTGGTATCACCGTACTTGAGTCTGGCCTGGAGGTGGTGCCCGATCTGTGCCGGTGAATTGCGCATCTAACGCCAGCAGATCGGTGCGAAGTGTAATTTTATTTTGGCGTGATTTTTCTATGCAAGCGAGTTTTCGCTTCAGGTGTTTAGGATTGGAACAAGTGACCATGCCGCCTCCGGAATCTGTTTGAGACGTACTTTTAGCATTTACGCCACTACGAATTTCATGCTTGGCTGTTGCGGTATTGCTACATCCAATTTTTTATTATTTTGTAATAGTCTTCTCATATCCGGGTCAGCTCCAGCTTGCGGTTGCTTCCGGCCACAAGTTGTAGAATGACACTGTGGGCTGGGGTCTCCGCTCTGGCTTCTTCGTTTAATGCCCACGACCCTGATTTGCTGACCCCCCCCACGTCCCCTGCGGGAAAGCCACTTGCACTTTTCTGGGATCCGCAGAAGAGAAGAAAGCTGCGGAGCGCTTGAATCTGTCGAGAATCCACTCATGGAAATTTTCACATTTTTTTTGTAGCATCACGGCTTTCACAGCTCTACTCCTTCTATCAGCGAATCGTCATAGCGTTGTCCGGTGCTGACTGGCCCTTGAGGTTACGACCCCCCCCCCTCCCAGCGGGCCAAAGTACGACCCCCCCGTATGGCGGTTTCGCACACACGATTGGCGTACCCTTGCTGTGAGTAGTACGGATCATTCATTTACTATAAAAGATGACTAGAAAAAGCACAATTACTCTGTTATCAGTTTTTCCCAGCCACTCTAACTTAGCAGTTTCCAGCCGGTGAGGTGACTAGCGAATACAGATACTGCTCAAAGAATGCGCCAACAAAAAATCGCCAACATCTCCCTGAAATGCAACGCACGCCGCGCATATCGAAGGGCACGCCCTTGAAAATATAACAAAGAAAAAAATGAAAGATAGTACTAAGGAGTAAAAAAAGATTATCAAAATTCAAACCCTCTCGGAGAAAAGGGGAACGGCGCAGCCCCCATGCTGTCGACGTGTCGTGATCCCCACCCGAAACTGCAGGGGCCGTCAAGAGTATCGGGCCGTGGAGAAGCTCTTATTCCCTTACAAACGCCTAAAAGTGCCAGCTTCGGCGCAAAACTCCTTTATCCTATACAGCCGGCACGTGTCGGCCATCCGCGCCTCTCTTGCTTTTGCAGGCACTCTAAATGCGCTTTGGAATAAAAGCGCAATTTATATGCGGATAACTTTAGTGTTGCAAGAATAACGAACCGAAGATATGACGAGCAGCAGACTCAAAGCAGCAGCTGCTGCCTGCTTTTGCTAACATCGTTCAGACGTCGCGCATTTCCACGAAACATGAAAATAAAAACGGTCTAAGCGTCGCACTGGTTAGTTTAAAGTATTTCTATGGTTTTGGAGCCGAATTCGCGCAGGATCTTAGAAATTTACACGCGATTTTAATCAATTTGCGTTTCCTTAATTTTTATTTTTTCCATATTTGTTTTATTTACATCTATATTCGTTGTTCTTCATTTCTAGCCTTTGTCATCTTCATCACCTTCTATTCGGACTTTGAAGCATGAGCAACACCACAAATGTTATCCGCATCAGGAAATTGCGCTTTACTCGTATTCCAAAGCGCAATTACAGGACTTGGCAAAAGCCAAGAGAGCTGCACGTGGCTGTTGACTAAAGAGGAAAAAAGTGGTTTGCCGCCGCAAGCTCGCATTTTAGGCGGCGCACCCCGTAGCAAAGGAAAGTAGACTTCCCACGGCCCCGGACTCTGATCCCGTGCAGTTTCGGCGCGGGAAGAACCGCGAACACGACGACAGCTGGCCGGGGGGATGGGAGAGCATCTTTAAAAGGCATGCTGTAGCGCGCAGACGGTTTTGGCCAGCAAAATGGCAGTACAAAATCCATTGCCGCCTTGTTTACATATTACGGCAAGAGGTGAGCTTCGACAATGAGAAGCGGCCATGGAACGTACTCCGCCTCTGCGGATAAATGTAGCATATTTATTTTTGACGGCCAAAAAACCCCAAATTGGAAATTCGTGCCGGTAAGTTCTGCTGGACAATCAAGCGATTTCCGTTTCGCCCAAACACTTTGTGATTTCTCTCCGAAAAATTGTGAGTGGAGCCAAATAAAGCACACGGACAACCCGGGTCTCTTACCTTCGATATCTCCAGTCAGCAGCGCTATTTCCACCTCAACTCTTTCCCCTCCGAGTTATTAACACGGTAGTAAAACGAATGTAAAATTTGAAATTTTCATCATAAGCAGGTAAGCGACCAACCTTCGTCCACCAATTGCAGCATCTCGTAGAATACATGGCTAGCACTCAATATCAATTGGCCTTTGGCGCTACTAACCATACGCTCTCCATAAGGACCAGACACTTCGATTTCGAACGTGTACACATTGTGTTCCGTAAGCGAACACTCATTTGGGCTAAAAATGTAAAATGGATTCAGTCCTGAAGAAGAGAACTTTCAATCAAAGGATAGACCACAAAAGTTACTTACAGGCATGGTTCACGATGGTTGGAGGCGGGCAGTCACTACCAACGTGACTAGTCGAAGGGCTGCGAAAGGGGCCATTTGGCTACACTCTACTCAGTCCTTGCACGAGTCACCTTGGCAGTTACCTCCCGCCCCCAGTCGTCGCGCACATAGCCTTCAACTAGTATTTGAAAGCACAGTCCACGATGGCTAAAAGGGCAGTGATATTCTCCCCGTAGGGCCCTCCTCATTGGCGTTTCCTTGTGAATGGCGTACAGCAATAGCATACTCATGAGGAAAGCACAATGGCAGGTCCGACTCCACACACAGGGTACAGCATCGTTGTGTGAAACGCATAGGGATCGTAATTTTCCAATGGGGAGGTGGGTCGTGTTTGGTCGTTGTTGGGAGGGGGGTGGGGGGTCGCTTGTGACTTTAAAGAAGTTTGCGGCGCTGGGAAAAAAATTCGTCCCAGTTGTTGACTTTTCGTGGTTCTTCCTGTTCCATGTGCGTTATATATTCCCCACCCCCCCCCCCTCGACGGAGAATTTTTTGGTGAAAAAACTGGAAAATGTGGTGGGAAATCGAATTGGTAGGTAGGTGTTGGGGGGGGGGAGGAGTCATACCGAGACCCTCATTTAAGTGGAGGGGGCGCGTACTTCTACCACCACTTCACACATTACGACGCTGCACCCTGTCCAACCATACAATCGGCTTCACAAATGCGGAGGAAGAAAAATGTATTTTACAGAAATGCCTGGTAAAGGTAGACTTTTCAAATTTGAGGTAAACTCACCGCATGCCTTCACCTTCGATCGTTGTTCGATTGCTGTCATAGAAACATCTTAGACTTTGTCCAATCGATTCTGGCAAATAGCCAAGAAGGGTTTCGAATGAATTGTCGATGTTCACCACTCGTACTGATTGAACTGTTCCTTTCCAGTTTATGGCCGTTCCTGAATGAGGGATAAGGTTGTGATAGATGGACAAGGCAATAGACATGTGACATAGATCGTAATTTCTCGCGTCGTCGCTCGCGACGTATCGTGCGGCGATGCGCGTTATATTTTCGACGTAGACCAAAAAGGCGACTGCAGGAGCGAAACACTTATGAATTCAGTCAAGACAAAACTCAGTAACGCACGATGTCGGGTTTTCCACTACTTTAACAATCAAATTCAAACGGCCAGGCAAGAGAATTCGTCTATAGGGCATGATGTCTCTCGGCACGCCCACCAGTGCGGCATATTCCGATTCTCTTGTCCCAGACTCAGGCCATGGTACCAACCCACTGAACAAACAACACACCTTTCAACTGGCTGCATCGAATCTGATTTTCAATCGTGTTTGCAGAGCTCAGTG